TAATAATATGTCCAATAATTCGCGCTCGTTCCGTAATTAACGTCGACTGGAATCGTTTGCGAAATTATTCGTTCGCAAAGATTTCGATAGGTGAGAAATTCGATATGTCGACGGTTCAATTTCAGGTTCGGACATTCGAAACGTGGATATTACCGTTTTTGAGCAACGCAAAAACGTTTTCAAAAAAGTAGAAAAAGGGGTTCTCATCTAATTTTTATTGGACTCACCCTCGAGGCCGATGAACGCGTCTGGATCCACGTGGTTAATGTGATTCCCGTCCAGCTCCAGAGAGTTCAGCTGCGTCAAGTGGGAGAAGACACGAGCCGGGACTTCGTGGATGTTGTTATGTGCCAACCCCAACGAGTCCAGGTTCTTCAAGCCTAGTAACATAAAAAATTCCCCTCAAACTGGAATCGTACTTTCTTACAATAGAACCAACTGTGGTTTTTTTATTTTTTATTTCGAACAGAGTCGATGCTAAAAATACAAGACGGATGACCTTATCATCATATAAAGGTCGGAGATGCACGCGCGTGCACGCAGCAAGTAAAAGTTACGTGTGGTTAACCGAACGTAAGTCGATTACGCAAGGCTAGTTAGAGAGTTCGTGTTAATTCGATTTGGAACCTGTTACAGATTCGCAATTACTTGCCCGGGCTTTATCCGTGTTAACGCGAATCATGTTCTATGACTTATCTATCATGCAACGCATCAACGTAGCTATGATGTATCGGATCGAAGTTGAGAAACACTGAAGCTTAATTACTGATTCAGGTCACGGAACTTGCGCTTGACTGATCGATTCAAGTGAAAATACCTTCGAAGTCGCCTTCCTCAATGGCCGATATGTTGTTCTCCTGCATCTCGAGCTTCTTCAACATGTCCAGAGTCTTCAGAGATTGCGTCGGCACTTTGGACAATTTGTTCCCACCCAGGTTTAGTCTCTTCAGCTTTCGGCTACATGCAAACAGAATTACACCCTCGGTCATCTTTTACTCTCTCTCTCTGATGCATCCGACTAACGTTTCATACTTCGTTACGTACTTGTGCAACCCCGTGAAGGCATCCTCTTCTATAACCGAAATTTCGTTCTCGTAAAGAGACAGGATTTCGAGAGTATCCAGCCCCTCGAAAGCTTTCTTATGGATTGCCTTGATCTTGTTACGGTTCAAATTCAGGATGAGCAGATGCTGAAGATCTTTCAGGGCGCTGGACGGTACCGAGAGCAACGCGTTTTGCGACAGGTCCAACTGCGTCAGGCCGGTACCTAAT